TCTCCATGCCCTCGCTTTGGGTGGTCCGGTCTGGATCTGGTCAAGGGATGGGGCCTGGCAATCGACACCCCGTAACTGCACTCGTTCGCTGCTCAAGTCTGGTCCGATCCCAACCTCTACCTACTCGTATTCGCATCACAGCAGACACGGACACTCTCACTCGCTCTCTGCACAAATCTTGACGCAGGCTGCACTATGTATGTGTTTCGGTTTATTTTCCTTAATTATTGTAGATAATGATGTATCGTACAAATATTTTAATATAATTGATTTTTGTTATTTTAATAATGAATGGATGTAAGGGGAAATTATTATTATTAAGAAATAATAACTATGTATAGTCTCTGTAAAACATTACAAACATGTATTACCCTTTCAAAACTTGGTAATCCTTACAATACATTTCAAAAAAGGGAGGTCCGATATTATGCATTTTATATGTTTAAAAGGGGTATTACCCTTATGTACTTTTATTACATTAATAAACCTTACAGTACCTTATACAAAGTTATACTACTTTATCAGAAATCGAGGTCCGATAATATGTAAATTACTTTTTTTACTTTTTTCACTTTTTTCACTTTTTTCACTTTTTTCACACCATTATAATGTAATATAACCTTTTAGACTTTTTCCCGATGGTGTTTTGTCTTGTTAACACAGTAGTCTGCTATGGTTCATGAATAAAATGTTCGGCCCTGCGTGTATTTGAGTTCTACTGTGACAGAATGCACGTATTTGATGTCAGTGGCACAATACTAGTATGCGAACGGTACGTAGGTTCAAAATGCTTGGTAGTCCCCTGAGTACAGACCAGTAGTCCTAAGCACTGTGATCTCTCTTCGTACTAGCCTGCTGACGTCAGTTTTACAATTTACTATCAAGGGAACAGTCTTCAGGTTCAGAGTGCTCGAAAGTTACCAGAACACAAACCAGTAGCCCTAAGCGCCGCGATCTCTTTGTACTAGTCCGAATGGCAAACTCTGGCATTGTCGGGCTTGAAAGATGTACTAGCATCAATGTAGCTGTAATGAAGGATTTGCGTCTTGCTGTTAGAAGGATTGACTGTGGATTGACTGTGTCAAACTAAGTAATAGGATAGGAAGACACATGAAATCGTCTGATCCAACAGAATACATCCAATGTTTGTCGAAAAGATCTGAATCGAATCAGCAGGGCTCAAACCATGAAAGGCTAGCGATGCACAAATACAGCATCCCGTCAGCTTTCTGAGATAATCTTCTCTAGTAACCGTACGCTCAGCAGACCTGTCACAATTTAAGCGCTGAGAATAAGGCCTTGACAGTCATAAACAAAAGTCGGATATAAGGCATACAGTGAGCGAAAATACCGCATATGCGGAACCTCGTTCATTTGTTGTTACCTATCCTGATTGATGTTTTCTCAGAGACTAATATGGGGGTACCTTCTGAGTCAAACCCCCTATCTCTTGATTCGGATTTGATTGATGCTTGGCTAGTATTCCCTATTGAGAGCCCTAAATTAGATTGTAGAAGTGGAGGTCGTTACTTCGCCATCAAGGACGTACTAGTCGAATATTGTAAAATAGACGCTCGAGGGCAAGAGAATGCTTCGAAAGAGCCGCAACCGTGTCATTTCGCCCTTGATGTGTGCGGAGGCTGTACAATGGCGTCAATCTGATCATCAATTTTGAGACTTAATCACATCATATTAGCATTGTGCTTTTGTTACCGCAGTTTGAGATTGAACTCGAAAGGTGGACGGAAGGTGGCAGACACGGTTACGATAGAAGATCTCCCTTCCGATACAATTTCATGCCCCCTCGTGCCGCATTAGCAGAGTTTGCCTGCGCGAATCTTGGGACTGGAGTGACATACAGGAAGGTATGACTCGAACTGGCAATCGCCTCCGAGATGTGATTTACGAGTACTTTTACGTGCAAGAATGAATTAAGACACTAGTACCGCTTCACTGTCGAGAGTGAGTCGATGAAGGTCATGCGAGTCAGTTGCAATAGGGTTGTAGTAAGGAAGAGGCGAGCCGTGTGTTGAACCCAAAAGGAGCGGCACGTGACGCGTAATGCTAAGCGCCTGCACTCTCAACTGCGACTGACAACGGACCCGCGCTCCGAGAATACGACCTCGAGGCTGAGGCATTACGACGCGCACGACTCCGCCTGCTTGACTCCAGCCCACCGCCACCCCTCCATAGACACCTGCCAATCCTTAAACGCGCCCTACTTGTCCAGATGTTCGCTTTGCTTTGACTGTTTCTCTCTTGTTTGCCTATACACCTCAGTCTCCGACTGCCTTCCTAGGCATGCCGCCCGACAACGACCCACTAGCAAAGGCCAACCAGATTGCTCACCGCTTCTTTATAAAGTTCGTGCTTGTCATTTATGATGCGCGCAATGTCGCGTCTGAGCTGCGCGACGATGCTAAAACCGACAAATGGGTGGGTGTCTCACCAGTCCTCCTTTCTCCTTATCTGGCAGCCCTGGCCCTGTTCGGAATGCTCGGAAGGACAGCGACGGGATATATGTTTCTATTAAATTATTGCTGCTATGACCGTTAATGTATTGTGGCAAGTCAGACGCGTGCCGAGAGTCTGCCTCAGCCCGTCTGACACTCGTTTGCCCTCCTCATTCAACCACATTCAATTACTGACTATACTCTATCAATGTCTTCCAGTTCAACATCGAAATACCAGACTCAGACGTGTACAAAGAGAAACTTCGGCTTTACAAGTCAATCTCGCAGCTAGGAGCTTCGCCTCCGCCGCTTGAGCTCCAGGTCCTCATGATCGTTCCCGAACTTACGGATTCGCAGGTGCTTGTGCAGCATCCTCCAAACTCGTCAAGGATCCGTGTGGAGCCTACACCTACGCACATTCTGCTCGAGAGCTGGACGCTCACATTTGTCGGCACGAGCAGCGGGTCGTTTTCTTCTCAATCCAGTTCAGGCGAAGTCACCCTTGCAACGGTATACAAGCATATTATGTCTGTCATCCGTAGCTTGTACACGCTACTCCGTGTACTTCCCGTATGGAAGATATGCAAGCGCTTGCGTAGGCGCCCAGGAGCATCTGCACGTAATGGCCAACTAGGTCTCATGCTGCGTCTTCGGCCGCGGAGCGCGGACGGTTCAGCAACTGAAGACATGCGATATTTGGGTTTCGGTAACTTTTGTCTGCATTTACAAGCTCTACTTATAGACACTAAGACTAATACCTCTAGATGAACCATTGTCACCAAGCTCTCCCCCATTAAAGACTGTCAGTCACACCTTCGAGCCTGTAACACATCCTCTGGGTGTCTTCTCCGCCGCTGTCACATACTTGGAAGCACCTCACTTTGAGATTGATACTGTCGAGGCCCTATTATCGTCACGTTTCTTATCTCTTGACGCTGGACCTGAGTTCACTCCAACACTGGCTCGGAACTCACAGCGTGAGAGCATGTCGGCCTCTCCGGGAAGTCTTCCGGCGCGAACCAGCCTGCCCTTATCACCAACGCCTGACAGAACGGACAGGGATAGGACAGGTGTTGGTCTTGCCGTTGGTGCGGGCACAGTATCGAGTATTGCAGATAGATTTGTTTTCCCCGCGAATAACACCGCAAGTGGAAGTCGTACATCCTTTCCAAGCACGAGTCCGCGCTCGCGCAACACTGCGCTTCCTTCCGCTCCGGGACCAGTACAGCGGTCGGTATCTGCACAGCAGCCACAGACCGGAGCAAGTGCAGGCTCTGCGGGATCAGTTGGCTCATCTTCGCGACCTTCACGTGAGGAAACGCGAGAGGGTGCGACACTCGCCCGTTTACGACGAGAGAGTACGGGCATGGGTCGTGGATCAGTACGTTTGAATTATGTTCAACTCATTCATTCATTCATTGTACTGACATGTTGACTTAGGACCTCCCTTCCACACCTGGTCCTCTCCTTATTCGACGGCCTTCTGCGACAGTAAATGCCTTCAAATCAGGCACACTATCCTCGGGTTCGCCATCACTGTACAGCAACTCGCCATCACTGCGACACGGATCGCCACTTTCGGGTCCATCCTTACCGGCAGCACCCACCGGTCGATCGCCTTCGGCTGTGCCACCCTCACCTACCAGCACTCGATTGCCAGTTTTTCGTGGAGAAACCGGTGCGGGACCGAGTTCGCCAATTGCAACTGCACATTACACTAGTTCGTCACCCGTTCTACCATTGCGTCCTTCTCCACCTACCCCCTTCGCACCATCAAGTTTGGGTGAGCGTCGGTTCCCTCCGTCATCTACGGGGCAGAGTCCATCAGCGGAGCTTGGTATCACGGGTTCGGATCCTGTGCCCGCTCCGTTACGGAGAAAGCGGTACTCGAGTAGCTTTGGTTACAGATATGCTGCTGCTGGTAGTGATGGCAGTGCTGGAAGTGGGGAGAAGGGTAAAGAGCCTGAGCGGGTCGGGGTAAGTATTCTTTTTCACTTTATGGGTGAAGTCCTTCTGTTTCTTACAACACTCTGCTAACTACCATTTCTTAGAGTGCCTCCTACTTGAGCACCAATACGGATGATGACGACATTTCTGCATTTGTGCAAGAAATTGACGCTCGAAAGCCGATAGGTGGTGGATTCAATAATCGGCATGATCGCGAGCGAACACTTAGCGAAGCAGGCCTAGCTAGACGAGCTCTTCTATCAGGCGCGGACCTTCCAGAACGATCTCAGCTATCTCAGCCAACGGAGGTTATAGATGCAGAGCGGCCAGATTTCTTGAGGAGACATACCAGAACAGTTTCAGAAGGACCCAGAGGCTCTGCTCTTGCACGTGAAGTCGCCACCTTAGTTACAACTGACACAGAAAGGCAGCCTTCAGAGCAATCTGGAAGCCCTCTTAGTCAAGACACAATAGAGGAACGGTTAAGAAATCTTAATAGCGCCTTTCGTGAGAGTATGGGTCTCGTTGAACGCAGACTAGGTGTCTCAAGGGATTCCGCAAGGTCGGGTTCGGATACACCACCATCGTCGTCGGCACCCTTCCCTCCGGCACGACCACTCCCTGTACCCGGTGCGTCACATCTACGCACACCGTCGTTTGGTGCAAGCGGCGCTGTCACGCCGGAACGTCCTCTTTCTGCTCCTAGACAAGCACGCAGAGACTCGGGGCCCGAGAGTTCCATGCCTCCTCGACGCTCCGCTACGACACCTGGAGGTGGAGGGCAGAATGTTAGTGTATGGGATAACCGACGGTTACGATCCGATTCTGACGGATCGTCTACTTCGGCGGTCGGTGAAATAGACCGTGCAAGGTTATTCTATGAGCAGGGCAATGCCGCTCGCGGGTCGGGTGGGTCAGTCAGTGCAGTGAGTGGGGCATCGGAAGAAGCCGTAGGGAGGATGGACCTGGATCGTAATGATCAGTGACTTTGGTTTGGGACCAAGGCCACAGTCGAAGACGGATAAAGGATTGTAGGGAACATTGTGCATGAAGAGATAAGAGCCTTTCGGTGAGTGGATCTCCTATAGCTTTTATACGTCTTCGCTTGGGCCTATCTTAACATGTGATCAGACCACACACTGACCTCGTTGCCTTACCAGTGGCTTCTCTGCCCCTCTACGTGACGATCTCAGGAATGCCGAGTTTCGCGCAGATGGTCAAGTGATTACTTATAGAATGTCGGCTTTATCGCAGAAGAATTGCGAAAAGGAACGACTTACGCTACGCTACGCTTCTTTATGCCTGTTGTCCGCGGCGTTTTTTCCTCGTGCAAGGACCAGATTCCGTGGACGCGCTCCTCAGCTTAATTGCATTGGTATCTCTTCTTTGCTAGACTTTGATCATATGCAATCGATAATCCTCACTCGAATCAGTACCTACTACCTGCTCTTTACTTGTTGCAGTCTTCTACTTTGTCTCCACTTCTCAGTCCACTTCCCCTCCTCTTCCCACTTTCACGCGCATTCCTGCGTTCTTGCAGGTTCTTCTCATTTCTTCTCTATTGCGGATTAATTGTCACGCTGCATCCGCTGTATTTTTCGTTATTATCTCCCTTTTCAAGTTCGGCGACTTGCAGTGGAGCTCTCTTTTTAAATCTTGCATATTCAATCACTCAGGAGGCGACAACACGTATGTTGCATACTTTAATTTTTACTTTCTCAGCAGCTCGTTCAATGTTGTCCTGTCTTCTTATAATCTTCCTATTCTTCCCCATGTTGACCTTCATGCATCGTCACAGATTCGTCAGGATGTTCGTCTTCCAATTTTTGCCACACCCCTCGCATTCTCTTCTCACTCCGTTACTTCACCCATCCATCATCAGCATCCTAGACTATCTTCTCGATGCATCTTCACCATTCACATTCATATCCTCTGGTTCCTCATCACCGCTCGACCCACACGTACCTCTCCGCTTTGCACTTTCACATTCCGATCCTCTTATTTTTCCTCTAGTTTCTTCTATCATCTGTTCAACTGACCATCACCTATCGTACATCATCTATTTCCTATCCTCTTATCCTCTATCATGACTTCTTTACTTCTTTGTTGATCGATTGACCTGATTAGCTTTAGCTTTCATTTGTTTGTTTGCCTTAGTTGATTTTTGTTGGTCCGATTTTGATGTAGTGCTTGTGCTTAGCGTGTGTATGGTTTGATCTAGGAATGCGAGTACGAGACCCCTTGGATGAGATTTACGTGTAGTGTAAACCGACGTTATTAACGACGGTATTGAGTGGTAAGGTGCTGCGTTCTGAACAATCATCACGAAAATCAAGTCAATTGAGTTTCAGCAAGTCGACTTGAGATTGTGCTAGACTAGGAGATTTGACATAGATTCAGGATATACATGGCGTAAATGCACCAAGCGAAAGGATCAAACTGCATACTAGTATACATTTGCAGGAAAAGCGAAAGGAAAGCACACCATCCTTCCAACACAACCCCAAGAAGAAAGAAAAAGGATGAGAACTCCTATGCAGAGTGAAAGCAAAAATAGTTTAAACGTGAATATTTTCAAGAGATATGCATTGCATATTAGAATCAATTCATTTTGGTGAGCTGGTGATGAATCCTATGATATAGTCGACTATCGTTCCTGTCTCTTCTCCAACTGGTCGGATCCATTCACGTGGTAACGAGTACCCGTACTATATTATCAAGAGTCAGAATACGTTTCTATGAATAATTTCAACAGTGGCATCTATTGCAAGCAGTACGCACCGTGCCAGTATCCCTTAGGTGGACAGCATACGAGTATTTAACTCCTGCAGAGGCATACATCCAGTCGAGAATGTTGCCTGGAGCAGAATAGAGCATCGAGCATAAGCTCCCGGTCTACGTTCAACATAACATATAAAAAGCCTAGTTCAATCACTTCGATAAGAGCGAGACGAAGGGTACATACGGTGTACGCCGTCCCATGCTTCTTCCTAATCGCGGCCGCTGCACCTAACGCAGCCTCGTACAAATTTTCCGCGTCTGCAGGGAGCATGTCGCACGAATACGAGTACGGCCAGCTTACTAGCATCCAACCATAAGTAAATATCCACTTAAAACAAATGAATATCAACAAAACGCATATACTCACGCATTTGTCCGTAACTCCTTAAATCCATAAATGCAACCAGCTCGGGAAGCTGCATAACATAATTCGCGATGTTATTCACCTCGGGAGCCTCGAAGGGTCGACGTCCGGGGAACCAGTGCGAGCAAGGGTCCGCAGGAGGAGGTCGGGAGGGTCTGGGCTTCTTTGGTTTCTTTGGTTTCTTTCCCTTCTTTTTTCTAAGAGCCTCGGCTTCATCCGGTTCGAGGGTGTCGAAATCCTCGAGCGGAGATGAGGTGAGGGTTGGGAATTCTGACGGTGACCAATGATATCCCTTTCACCGTCATTAGAAATGTATAGAAGAAGATTCATACGGAACGAGGTCCTACCCAGTTCCTAAATAGATAAGCAATCCAATTCAGCCCAGGGAGAATGTTTATCAATAATCCCGATGAACATAATACAGTACCTATTCATATCCAAACCTTGGCACGGCTCATTCGGTCCAAGCAGCATTCTGTTCTTGTACCATAGTCTGTCGCTCTCCCATGTGTACACGTAGCCATCGGGATTCGGTACGGGAATGATGTAGAAGTCAAAGTCAGTTAGTAAATGCGTAAGTGTGTTGGTTTCGGATGAATCAGCGAGGAGGGCGTGTGCGATGTAGAGAGCTGATGCTGAAGCGACCCACTGAGGTGGAGCGGGTGTCAATGTTAGCAGCGCATAGTAGTGGACGTGAAAAGACAGACAGACCTCTCTTGCATGCTGTGCTCCAGAAATTACGAATCCCCTCTTAACACGCGTTTGTCCGTCTTCATTTAGGACATTACCGCCTGTAATCCGCATGGCATACATCTCCCTCCCTTCTGCAGAATGGCCCAGTTCATGGATAGTGACATTTTCCGGATAGAGTGCTGCAAGATGTTCCAAGTACTCATCGATTTCAAACAAAGGATGATAGGTTTCGTGGAAGGTTGTGTTTGTGAAGGATGAAAGGTTCCACGGGTCCGTTCCATGGCCCCTACCCGGTGGAACTGGATGGGTCTGTTCACATTATCAGCAGTGGGTACTGATATAGCCTGTTGATATGAGCCAATGCACATACCACACCAAGTGCGTGTGGGGCACCAAGACTTTCTTGCTTCACGTCAAGCTCCCAGTGGAGATCCTGTGCGAACAACACTTGATCGCTATCTTCCGCTCGAGTGTGGCATATCAGACAGAGGGCAAATAAAGTGACAAGTACTCTTGCCAATGCCAAAAGATTACGCATGTGGTGGATGAGGAAGACACGGTCATTGGCCCGGCATGCATCTGCAACGCGCGCCAACATGTCGATCCTAGTTTCAGTCTCAGATTTTCTTTATCTCTAATCATATGCATGTTAATTTTCTCACACAAACATATCTCCCTGGTCCTCCCAGTAAGCACGCAATTGTGTCCAAATTAATACCATTGCTAGTAATATACGCCCCTTACCCAACGAAACAGTCAACATTGACTACCAATCACTGCTCTTCTTCTTCGTCTAGATCATCCTTTCCACGCTCTTCTACAGATGAGACAAGGTATTCCTTCACCACACTTATCCCGTCGACATTCTCAATCTTCGCGATAATTTCAAGAAAGGCCTTTTTGATTTCCTTATCCTTTTCTTGACATTCTTCACTATACTCATCCAAAGGTTCGCTTTCATTATGCAACTGTGCAATCCTTTCCTTCTGTGCCCCTGAAGCTGCACCAACGACTGCTTTCATTAGTTCTGCTGTTAACTTGTTCCTTTTACCCTTTGCTGCCGCAATCTTCTGCTCCGCTCGTAATCCACGCAAATGCGTTGCAGCTCTCTGGGCAGCGTGTCCAAAGGTTCTCCACATATTTGCAACCAGGTCGTTCACCTCTTTAACAAACGGATCACCTGTTGCTTTTAAGCTAGGTGCGTGTTCTTGTCGCATTTTCCTCGCACCATCCTTAGCTTCACGTACTTGACGAGATCTTGGCATTCCTTTATCTTCAATGCAGATGCACACAGACCAAAGAGTTACAGTATCATGCAGTCCCACTTATAGAGCCCAGGTTGCATGTTATCGGGATGATTGCGTTATTGACTAATAGGAAGCTTTTGCAAAGCTTGTTGTTGGATTGGTAAGACCATGCGAAGTACTAATTCTCTACATTCACAAGAAAGAGCAACAACGAACACACACACATATATAACTCTTGTTTCACACCTTTCTCACTGTCCCAAAAAGTGGGAAGTTTCACCAATTGTACAATCTCTCCAGTCCTGCCCGGATGGTTGGTTGTTTCTGCGTACTTTCATTCACTTGAATTAGGCTGCAAGTCGCTAACAAGGGGTACTTATAGCCCACATTGCTTACAATGAATAGCAATATTGCGAGTATGACGTGACTAGGCAAGCCTCCTTCATCGAAAACAAGAGCCGCACAACTCTGTTATCCGACATCACCCAATGCGTTTTGTGAAACGCAATGCAGGAGTGTACCACTGGCATGAACAGTTTGCAAGAATAAGTACCAAAGACTACTCAATCTCCACTTCTGCATCATCACCCTAGTATCCGACATTTGAGTGGCTGTCTATGCCCATCTATCATATGCAAGAAGCACGTTAAACCGTGTTGGTTGAAGAAGTACAATGAAAGACACACACAGTGTAGACTGTCCTATGCTTCTTAATTGTATACACTGTACCTTATACAAGGCTTTTGTATCTACAGCTTGAAGAAGTGTATTGTATAAATACAAGTATGTCTATCTTACTGACACCCAATCATAGTAAACCTTTGCTTGTACAAGAAGCATCAACAGGATGCATATACCACACATCTGACTATAACTCAAATTCACAATTACAGCTGACTCAGAAGTTGCATAATATAGTCTGTAATGTTAATTACTTTAGGGGGCTCAAAGGATTGATGTCCTAGGGACACTGTAAACAAGGTCTGTATGAGGAGGTTGGGTTGAAGAAGGGTGGCAAAAGTTTAAAAGGGTTTAGAAAGTTTAAAATTTAAAAATGTAAAAGGGTTAGGACAAAGGAAAGAGATTGACACAATAGTAAGTACTAATGCCCAAAACATAGGAGAGTTGTAGGGTAGTAATGGGTAGTCTTAATCTAATGTCAGCAACAGTGTAGAGGGGACCTGAAGGCTCAGCAAGGGGACCCAGGCTACAACTATCCTACACAACAGAAATACAGAACACAAGCACTAGAACATAGTCAGAACTCACAGAACAGGCAGAGAGAGAGAGTGAGACAAGAGTAGAGTATATAGAGTGAGCCTAAGAGTACAGGACTACCTAGAGTAGACAAGATCAAGACTACAGGACCAGTCTGATCTTGTATGCCTATATATACTAAACTACACAAGAGTACTTAGAGAGCATGAGCCACTAAGAATGATGAGCCACAAAGAATGAAAGAAAGGAATGTCAAAGATAAAGGTACAAAGAATGAAGGGATGGATAAAGGGTAAGAGACTATAGAATGATACAAAGAATGAAGGGGTGGTCAAAGGAATGGAATGATGAAGTAAGGAAGGGTAGTGGCAAGAGTCAGCACACATATAGTTCAGAGACAGTGCCCCTGAGGGATGGAAGTCCTGAGTTCCAGTATGGAAGGGTGCAGAACCCTCAGAACTGAAGGTACAAGAGCTCTGAACCATAACATATAATTGGTCATCATCAGAATAAGTAGCTCTCAGATCACTCCTACCTGTAATCCTTGACTCTGCCAAACTGGGTGAACTTGAAACCAAAGAAGCTCAGGCCTATTCATTACCCCTTTTAGTTTAGTATTGATCCCTTTGTAGTGTAGACATGGACCCTACTACACTGACTGCCACCCCTACTGTCCTGCCAGATCAGCAGTTACAAGCAGAGCTAGCTTAATACATATAGACCTCTATCTAAGAGGCCTTTGCTAACCACATACCCTCAGCCCCTTCAGAACCTGTTCTAATCATTCTAGAAGTTGTAACCTGTTCTAGAAAGAAAGTACATGTAGCCCACCCTTTGGACTTTAATGGGCAGCACTTTGAGGACTTCCAGTGCTAAGTCAAACTATACATAGCTACTACTTCAACTAATCTATCCTCAGATCTCAATTGTGTCCTATTTGTTCTCTCCTTTATGAAGGAAGGTAACACAGCCACTTGGGCCCAGAACTAGATTGAAGGTCATCAGATTGGAAGCCTGATCCAACTTCAGAACAATGAGTCATACTCAGAATTCATAGGGCAGCTCTGTGCTTCCTTCATCAATCCAAATAAGAAGCATAATACACAGAACAAGCTTGTATCTCTGTAACAGGGTAAATATTCTACCAATACCTTCTTTCAGGAGTTCAATATCCTGGCCCAGAAGGCAGGATTCATACTCAGGTTCAATGATGTCCTCATTAGAATGCTTAAAAAAGCTCTTCACCTAGAACTAGTCAATAAGATTCTTGGAATAATGCTGGAACTAGTCACCTACACTAAGTGGAAGACACACACTATCTCCTTCAACTAAGCTGTAGCTTGGATGTGTCAAGTCTATACAGAATACTTACACATGTGTCCAGCTCTGACAGTTCTGAGCCCTCAGATCAATCTGCCCATAATTCACAATCAATCTGTTCTAATGGACATTAGAGAAGCCTGAAAGTAAGAAGCATACTTTGCTTACAGAAAGTCAGGGCACCAAATTAAGGACTGCCTGTAGAAGTGACAGTACATCTGTCAGGTTATTAGAGTAATGATGAGTGACAAGTAGGATTTGTAGTAAGAAACCTTTTCTACAAATCCAGAAGTCACCTTGAAACTCCTGGACCCTGACTATGTACTCTAGGATTTTGTGGAGACCTAACAGTGAATGTAACACTGAAGGGCTATGACTCAGATTTTTTAATAGTCACTTTTGATTCAATAGACACTGTAGGATTAGAAGTAAATAAAGTAAGAAAAGTAGGAAAAGTAGAAAAAGTAGAAAAAATAAATCAACAAAATTATTTATTAGATAGAAAAAAGTTGAAAACAAAAGTAGATAGTTCTCCTATTTCTTCTGATTCTTTTGATTCTTCTCTTCACACTTCATCTGAGTCTAAATCTGTACAATCCAACCTACCACTTCTACATTCTAAGATCTTAAAACATTCAGAACATTCAGAATGTTACCCAGCCCTGTTCACTACTCAGTAGTTTGTCTGTAGTATCAAGTAGGGATAGTCTCAGCTGAGTTCACAGCTAAGGACATGAGTCTGTCCTTGTTGAAAGAGAGAGGTTAATGAGGAAATGTTAGTACATATACTCACCCTCTTAGACAACAAGGCCATACAAGCTGTACATTCCCTTCAGAACAAGTAGCAGTTCATCTAAGGACATTCTAAACACTAGCTCCAAGTCCCTGTCCTCTTAGCTCCCTTCTTAGGATCCCCCCAGATCTGAACAACAGCTCTGGTAGACAGTGGATACACTAGTTTGTACATTAATGAGGCCTTTGTGTAGGAACACCACCTCCCTACTTAACACATTCTACTTCCAATCCTAGTATACAATACAGACAGAACCCTGAACCAGAATAGTTGGATCACTAAGTTTGTCTAACTACAGATGACTATTCAGGATCATGAGGAAAGTATTGAGTTCAGAGTCACTAACCTCAGAAAGACAGACATCTTTATCAGATTTGAATGGCTCAAGGCTCACAACCCTACTATTGACTGGTTAGAGTAGACACTTGTGTTTGATCAGTGTCCCAAGTCTTACAGCTACCTTGTACTACTGTTCTGAGTAGATACAAACACTTCTAATGTTACTAACAGTTCTAATGAAGGTGACCAGTTGTTCTTCTTTGACTAGGATAGATATGTGGATACATATTCTAGTCAAGGTAGAATAGAGTCAATCTAAAGGATGTCTGAGACAGAACCAGTCCAGAACCCTCTTAGAACAACTCTACTCTAGAATGTATACAGACCCAGCCTACTAGATTTTGTCCAAGAGTTCCCTAAAGTCTTTAGTGAAGAGGAATTCAACCAGCTTCCTAAACACTGTCCCTAGGACTATACAATTGAATTGACTAAGGGTTTCCAACCTAAGGATTGTAAGGTCTACCTACTCAACAGAGACAAGTAGGAGGCACTCAACAAGTTCCTTCAGGAAAATCTTTAGAACAGCTGGATCCAACCCTTGAAGTCCCCTATAGCCTCCCCTTTCTTCTTTGTCAAAAAGAAAGATAGGAAGCTCTACCTAGTCCAGGATTATTATTGTCTTAATGAGGGTACTGTCAAAAACAAGTACCTGCTCCTCCTGATTCAGGAGCTCATTAATAAGACACATACATCTAGGGTTTTCACTAAGTTGAATGTTTGATAGGGATATAATAATATTTGGATCTGAGACAGAGATGAGTGGAAGGCTGTGTTCCAAACCAATTGCAGATTGTACAAACCAACTGTAATGTTCTTCAGACTAACTAACTTGCTTACAATGTTCTAATCATTCATGAATCACATCCTTACAGATCTGATTGACTTGGGGCACATTAGTGTGTATCTGGACAACATTCTGATCTTCACCCAGACAGTTGAGTACTATTACTGACTAATCTAAGCAGTTCTACAACAGCTCTAAGATAATAAACTGTTCCTCTGAGAAGCAAAGTACTCTTTTACACAGGAGTCAGTAGATTATCTGAGCTTTGTGATCAGTGGAGGAGAGGTCTGTATGGATCCAGCAAAGGTAACTGTAGTTTAGAACTGGCTACAATCTCAGAACCTGAAACAGGTCCAAGCATTCCTTAGGTTTGCAAACTACTACTAATACTTTATTCAAGGCTTTAGTACTATTGTCTAGCCCCTTTATGATCTCACTAGCAAGGATGTTCCTTAGTAATAAGATGATCAGTAGTAGTCTGCATTCGAGTCCCTCAAGCAGGCTATCACTAGTAAGCCTGTATTAGTAGTTCTGACAGTTACAGACAAGTTCTGAGTCAAAGCC